GCTATACTAAGTCATGAGTAAACCTAAATGAAAGGATCAAGTACCCCCTACAGTTCTTTTTTAGTTACTAGAACTCTCGTGTAAGTAAACTATACTAACTAAGCATCTGTCAGTACAACATACTATTGCTATTTCACTTTACTTCGAGGCAAAAGGCTTGCCTTTTTTTTCAAGGCAATCGGTTTGCATGCTTTTTTTAACTAAGCCCAACTAATTAGATTTTACAGTGTATGGATGAAACCTGCTATGATTACCCTACTTTAAATAGGGATGTAACGATTCACTCAACTCACGATTCGATTCGATTCACAATTTTTTTTTAACAAAATGAAATTTAAGACAAATTATAAATTAAATGTGTCCTTTTATTATTGCTTAGACAAAATACTGTACGTTTCTTTGTGAAATTGAAATATAACACTATAATGATATACTAATATAGCACTTGTAAATTATTGCTCTTTTGTTGGTTTTGATTGCTATTATTGTCCTCATTTGTTAATCGCTTTGGATAAAAGCGTTTGCTAAATAACAAAATTTAAATATAATGTAAATGTAAATAATAAAAGTATTTTTTATATATTTTTTTAAAACAAGCCCCAAATCAAATAAATAAGTAACACAAATAAAAGAAATCTCTTCATATAAACAAACTAAGGCTTTGTCTGTGAGGCAACCACTGCATTTTAATCATGATCCAAACAAAGATGCTGCAGACATGCAACATGAGCAGTTTTTAATCCAGATTACATTGTATAATTTCGAATTTGAATCAAAAATAGAATGGTTTGACTTCAGTTTTGTGAAACTATACATAAAAATATCTGCATGAAACAGAAGCAGCAGACGAGCTGAATGAGACGCAGCTTCACTCTCTGCCAGCAGGTGGCGCTTAAAGCGTTTCCTTGGTTTCTGCTGTAAACAAAGCAGCGCTGCTCTTATGAACTTTAATATGCATTATACAGAGGCAAGAGGAAAAGAAAAATACCATCGAAAGACAGTAAGTTCTCCTCAGACATACATACATATAAACTCCTAACCGAATCGCGATTTGTTTAGCATCTCAACCGATTTGAATCGTCACATATTTAAATCGATTTTCAACCGGCTGGCGGTTTATCGTTACATCCCTAACTTTAAAGCATAAATTAGATTTAAACAATAGGTCTGTATAATATTCACATATGGGACATATTGTATTAGCCCTACAGTTAAAGCATGAAATACTATTTAAACATATAACATTTTACATAACATTTACCTATTTTAACTCACAATTCTGACTTTTTTTTCTTGCAAATGCAAGTTTATCTCCAAGTTCGAACTTTATAACTTAATTCAACTCAACAATTGCGCGTTTGTCAATTCTGAGGAAAAAAAGCCAGAAGTGTGGCATTATAAACTTATGATTCTGAGCCGAGGGAAAAAGAGAGAATGACAAGTTGATTTTTCGTACCAGAATGACCAGATATAATCTCGGAATTTAAAGAAAAAAATCTGAATTTTGAAATATAAACTCAAAATGTCCTTTTTTATTCCATGGCTTGCATAGACTGCTATGTTAAAACTGGCATTTTCTGCCACCAGATAGGCTCCGCCCACAAAAAACCGTCATCACTGTTTGCAAACACTGAAATTGGTCTGTATTGTGAAATATTATTACAATTTAAAATACCTGTTTTATAATAATGTATTTGATAATGTAATTTGTTTCTGTGATGGCAAAACTGAATTTCTTCAGTGTCACTTGATCCTTCAGAAATCATTCTAACTTGATGATTTGGTGCTCAAGAAACATTTCTTAATATTATCAATGCTGAAAGCCATTTTTGTTACTTAATCATTTTTATTGTAAACTGTGATATACTACCATTCAAAAATTTGGAGTAAATAAGATAAAAAAAAAATAATAATAATAATATTTTTTGCATAATAAATGCATAAGAAAAAAATTCTTTTTTCAAAAACATAAAAAAACTGTTATTCCAACTACCTTTTGACTGGTAGTGTATAAGGGATTGAATATCTAAAAACTGCTAATGATTACTCATTACGCAATCCTCCCTCTTTATGCAACAGAAAGAAGCGAAGGGCCGTCAAGATGATGGTCACCATTGTTGTGCTGTTTACTGTCTGCTGGGCCCCCTTTCATACGGTTCATATGCTGTTTGAATACAGTAAGAAAACCAAAGCGTCCAGTAATATATCTGTGCACATTACAGCGTGTTTTCTTTCAAAATTCAGCAAGAAATGTATTTTCTTGTTTCCAGGTTACCTGAACAAAACGTACGGTGACATCACAGTCAATATGCTTATTGCTGTTGCACAGGCCATAGGATTTTCAAATTCATTCAACAATCCTATTATTTATGCTTTTATGAATGAGAACTTCCAGAAGAACTGCATGTCCACCTTTTCCTTTTGCATTAGGAGGTCCAGTCAACGTGACGATGTTAAGGACAAATCGACAAAGGACAAGGTACTTTTTTGTAAGTCTGCCAGACAAGAAGAAGACATCTCTGTCGTGCCCGGAATACATATAGTTGATCAAGTTCAATCTGCAAGATCAAACATGCCAACATCTCTGTCATTTCTGGAGTAGAGAATCTGCTGAGAGCAATAGGATGCATGCAAGATGTATGAGATGTATCTGATCACTATCTATATATCTATCTATCTATCTATCTATCTATCATCAACTATGTATATACTGTTCAAAAGTTTGGGGTTGGTAAGATTTTTTATGTCTTTTTTAATGTCTTTTATGCTCACCAAGGCCGTATTTATTTGCTCAAAAATACAGTATAAACAGTAATGCAAAATATTATTACAATTTAAAGTAAATATTTTATTGTAATTGATCAAATAAATGTAATTTATTCCTGTGATGACAAAGCTGAATTATCAGCATACATTATTTCAGAGTCACATGATCCTTTAGAAATAATTCCAATATCCTTAGAATTCAAGTTTTTTTTTATGTATGCATGCATGTATTTATTATCAATGGTGAACAGCTGTGCTCCTTAAAGGAGCCTAGCACTAGTGGTGAGTGAGTAAATGATGACAGAATTTTCATTCTGAACGTGAACTAAAAGATTAAAACAGAACAGGACTGTTAGCATAAATAAGTTTCAGCTTCAGGTAAATCTAAATAAATATTTGATCTTGAGGTCATTGAAAGGTGCGCGACTGACTCCTAGCTGTAGCAAGTCGGAATTTCATAACATCAATCAATTAAATTACTCCTGTTTACTTAAACGTTTAGAAATATTAACAAATTGTTTAATTCACATCGACTTAATTTAGATAATTAAAACACTTTCGTTCAAAGCAGCCGGTCGTGACTTACTATTAATAAATGTGAAGTTATTGATCTGTGGGTTATTTTATTTCCACATAACATTTTTTTCCTCACTTTCAAATATTTTTCAAATCCTATCTCTTAAATAAAAATGTTTTAAACACTGTCTGAAATCAGTTTTTAAACCAATTTGATTTAGCATCGCTTTTTAGTCAGGCAGTATCTCAATATACTATACCGCCGCTCAGGCATATTCTCGGACACCTACAGGTCCTTCTTTCTTTTCCTCGTCCCTGAGCGAGCAACGCTAAGATGGTGAGTCGACTGTGGACAAATGATTGTGAAAATCCGATTAAATCTTCTCCATCCAGCGATAGTATATTGACATTGTTGCCATAAAGCACACTACATATACATAATAACCAATATATAGCCTCATTTAGAGAATATAGTGTGTACGAACTTTTCGGTACACCGTAAGACGTTGGTGTCTCGATTCATACCATCGTGCTGCTCAGCAGCGGCTATGAGAAGTCAAATGTTACTCTACGGTTATATATGTGTATCCGTAGACCAGAAATAGGAGCTGTATAACGGTGGAAAATTTATATTGATCCCCTTATTTTGTATTTAGCCCGTGAAGCTAATGTAGCTAAAGTGCTAACCATGGTTTCATGCTCATAATGTGCAAGTGTCTTAAACTGCACAGGTTTCGGTCTGCATCTATACAAGATGCTCAGGTTTCCTTTTGAATATCGCTAATAAATACTACTAATAAACACTTGGCGTTTTCACAGAACGTGGCGGTTAAGTAACTTTTATTTATGAGTAAGAAATGTGACTTGTCATGACAAGAATAATGAATTCTGCTCTTTGAGAAATGGCTTCATCCAAGTTGAACATCAGCCCAGCTCATGGATGAAACCTGAAATATTTAAACGGTTTCATTGTGTTTTTGCAGAACGAAACTGTCACCGTCAGGACCAGAAAGTTTATGACAAACCGGCTGCTTCAAAGGAAGCAAATGGTAAGTGTGAGGCAATTTATGTCTGCTGGCTTAATGTAATTTAGTTAGCAATTTATGCATTTGCTCATTCACGTTTTTATTATTGTTTCAGGTTGTAGATGTCCTGCATCCAGGTAAAGCAACAGTCCCCAAGACAGAGATCAGGGAGAAGCTTGCAAAAATGTACAAAACCACCCCAGATGTGGTGTTCGTCTTCGGCTTCAAAACTCAGTTTGGCGGTGGCAAGACAACAGGCTTCGGCATGATCTATGACTCGTTGGACTACGCCAAGAAAAATGAGCCCAAATATAGGCTGCAAAGGGTATGCTACTCATGATGCTTGTAGGATTGCATAATTAATCGAATTGAAATAGAAAGGCTGTGACTTCAATATGCAATGCGTGTTTCAGAGTGAAGTGCGGTATTGATCAGAAATGAAAAAGTCTAGTTTAATGTTTAAGAAGGAATAAATAAAGATGGCCGTAGATGTAAATATTGTATTTCTGCAGTTGTAATGTAAATATCACGTTTTAGTTAATATTTATAATAATATTCATTTTTTAGTAATTGTAATTTTAGTCATTTTTCTATAATCACTCAAATTATTGAAATTGTGTGGCCTTGTAAATAAGCACAGCATTTTTTTAAATTGATATCTTCATTTTTATCAGAAGTCCTTTCCCTTGACCCTTGCTGTTCTAAAGAGAGCTAACTTGAAATTCAAAATCGTTGTCGTTAACTCATGTGATCAAAAAAATTTTCCAGCAGAGTTTTTTTCTTCTATATATGAGTTTAATGTTTAAGAAGGAATAAATAAAGATGGCCGTAGATGTAAATATTGTATTTCTGCAGTTGTAATGTAAATATCACGTTTTAGTTAATATTTATAATAATATTCATTTTTTAGTAATTGTAATTTTAGTCATTTTTCTATAATCACTCAAATTATTGAAATTGTGTGGCCTTGTAAATAAGCACAGCATTTTTTTAAATTGATATCTTCATTTTTATCAGAAGTCCTTTCCCTTGACCCTTGCTGTTCTAAAGAGAGCTAACTTGAAATTCAAAATCGTTGTCGTTAACTCATGTGTTCAAAAAATTTTCCAGCAGAGTTTTTTTCTTCTATATATGAAGGTAATTTGCAAAAACCGATAAACGCCACTTAAAAAAAAAAAAAAGAGCTGATTGCCGTGCATTATTCTCCACATATAGCACGATCTGAACCCTAAACACGTTTTTTCAAAAAAGCCGGTTTTGTCCACTTTCAAGGCATCGCGAGTTCACGTTTTACTGCAGAAGCCACCAAGCGCCCTTGTTGTTTTTAGACAGAAGCCGATAAGATAAATCCATTTTAGCGAATCAGCACGCTGTGTTCAGGTCAGGTGACAAGGCTGCTTTCACTTAAAAAAAAAACGTGCTAGCTGAGAGGAGTTTCCTCAAAGCTGACTAAAAGTGATCGAGGATGGATAATTTCGATGAACTTGATGAACCTGCGGTATCTTCAGGGCGAAAAAGGAAAATAAAAGCTGAAATGTTTTCACGGAACTTTGCAAAAGCATATGTAATATGTAAAAAAAAAACATACTTTCAATGAACTTTAATTTTGTAAATTACCTGTATTTGTTTCAGTTATTACTTAATCAAAACAACCCAACTGCAGTTTGATTTTACTTGGAATCAAAAAAAATAAACTTGATTTGTGAAAAAAATTTTTTAATGGAGTTATCGGTTTTTGCAAATGAACTCTTCATATATAGAGAGATATATATGAGTAAATGACACCTTTAGTGAACATTAATGTGTTTTATTCATTCTTTTTTCCTCAGCATGGCCTTTATGAGAAGAAAAAGACATCTAGGAAGCAGCGCAAGGAACGCAAGAACAGAATGAAGAAAGTTAGAGGCATCAAGAAAGCCTCTGTTGGTGCTTCTGGCAAGAAGGTAATGTTCATTTTTTGTTTTGAGTTGTTTAGGATTCAGAGCACTTATTTCTGTTGCCCATCGTAGATGTTTGTTTCGTCATCACTGTCTTTGGTTTTAATGTCTAACTTGTCATCTTTCCTTTAATGCGGGTTGTCATCTTTCCTTTATCAAATGTACATCTGGATTATAGAAGGTAAACACTTTCACAAGTAGACTAACTGCTGTGGATGGAAGTGATCTGTAAAGTTAACTCCAAACATTTAGCTGCTATGTTGATGGCTAATGCTATTGACCAGTATGTGATTGGAAGTAATTCTTACAGGCAACTCTGTTTAATCCCACTCGAGTAGTGCAACTAGTGTGCTCACTAATAGTGAAGTGCTGGACTATGTACCAGTTAAGTAGAATAAGCTATATTGCAATTGCTCTCTGAAAATGGTTTACAAATTCATGACAGTCAGAGACTGGTTTTTATGGGGCTTAGTTTACATACCCACCATGAAAGTCTATTTCAGAGAGCAATTCTAGAACTTGATAGTGTTAGTTGAAAGATCTCATCTTTGTCCAATCTTTTGCCCTCTTTTGCCTCCCTGGGATGTTTACAGAAGTGAAAGGCTTGAGGTTTCAGGAGAAGGTAGAGTGGAAATCGGCATGGTGTGCTGATGTGATCCACTTTTACCACTTACTTAAAGTGCTTTGCATGTTCAATCCCAATGCCTTACCTCACTTGAGTTAATTTGCAAAAACCGATAAACGCCACTTTAAAAAAAAAAAAAAGAGCTGATTGCCGTGCATTATTCTCCACATATAGCACGATCTGAACCCTAAACACGTTTTGTCAAAAAAGCCGGTTTTGTCCACTTTCAAGGCATCGCGAGTTCACGTTTTACTGCAGAAGCCACCAAGCGCCCTTGTTGTTTTTAGACAGAAGCCGATAAGATAAATCCATTTTAGCGAATCAGCACGCTGTGTTCAGGTCAGGTGACAAGGCTGCTTTCACTTAAAAAAAAAACGTGCTAGCTGAGAGGAGTTTCCTCAAAGCTGACTAAAAGTGATCGAGGATGGATAATTTCGATGAACTTGATGAACCTGCGGTATCTTCAGGGCGAAAAAGGAAAATAAAAGCTGAAATGTTTTCACGGAACTTTGCAAAAGCATATGTAATATGTAAAAAAAAAAACATACTTTCAATGAACTTTAATTTTGTAAATTACCTGTATTTGTTTCAGTTATTACTTAATCAAAACAACCCAACTGCAGTTTGATTTTACTTGGAATCAAAAAAAATAAACTTGATTTGTGAAAAAAATTTTTTAATGGAGTTATCGGTTTTTGCAAATGAACTCTTCATATATAGAGAGATATATATG